TTTTCAGATGAGGAAGCACAAGCTTAGAAAGTTGAAACCATGTAGCCAGGAACTGGAGAATTTGAGACTGGATCCAAGGTTTCTGAAATCTCCAGTCTTTTCCCAGATCTATGGAAGGAAGCATGTGCGTGACCTGGGGGCAAGATGAGTTCCAAGGCCTCATGGTCAGGTGTTGAAAGGTTTGGCATCCAGTAAGCTGATGGGCCCATCAGGGGTGAAGGTGCTTGAGTAGGCTGAAGTACACATTGAACTTGGGCTTCGTTGCTTTGATCCACAGACACAGCCTTATGTAAGGAAAAGAGCTCTTGGAATTTATTTATTTATTTATTTATTTATTTATTTATTTATTCCCTCAGGCTGGAGTGCAGTGGCGCGATCTCGGCTCACTGCAAGCTCCGCCTCCCGGGTTTACGCCATTCTCCTGCCTCAGCCTCCCGAGTAGCTGGGACTACAGGCGCCTGCCACCTCGCCCGGCTAATTTTTTGTATTTTTTAGTAGAGACGGGGTTTCACTGTGTTAGCCAGTCTCGATCTCCTGACCTCGTGATCCGCCCATCTCGGCCTCCCAAAGTGCTGGGATTACAGGCTTGAGCCACCGCGCCCGGCCTATTTATTTATTTTTGAGACAAGGTCTGGCTCTGTCATTCAGGCTGGAGTGCAGTGGTACGATCTCAGCTGCTGCAACCTCCGCCTCCTGGGTTCAGGCCATCCTCCCATCCCAGCCTCCCGAGTAGCTGGGACTACAGGCATGCACCACCTCTTGGGTTTTAAAACTGACCTCTCTCTATTATTAGTTAAGAACCCTGGACAAAGGACTTCTCTCTGAGCCTTGGTTTTCACATCTCCAGAATGGAGCTTAAATATCCACCACCTAGAGTTGCTGTGAGAGTGACAGGAGAGATTCGTGTAAGTGGATTTTGTAGGGACTCTTATAACGCAGCTCCTTTATAGGAGCTTAGATAACTTTCTTTGGTCCCTAAAATGCCCTTGTATTCATAGTATTCTCCCTGGCGGTTTATCTCTCATTGATATTGGACAACAGAACAAGGGAAGGGTGGCACAGCTCGAGACTATAAACTGTCATTGTTCCATCATATCTGAGCTCCCAGCAGTTAAGCAATGGCTCTGGCCCCATGCTGACTGTCTGGGGATGAGGTCAGCAGGTAACAAACCGCAGCACTTACTGAGCACCTGATCATAATGACAGCTATCATTTACTGACTGACTGCTATTTATTATTTATTCTGTTCAGAGAAAAGATCTGAGCCCAAATTCCCTGGCTGTGTCCTAAAGGTCCTTCCTCCAGATCATCCCAGTTGTCTTTCCTCTCATCTTTGGGCAGCTAGATCCTGCTTCCTGTACTTTGTCTCTGTCTGTGGTCCTGTTTCAACTCAAACCCTCCTCTGGGTCCCTTTCTCTAATGTCAGTAGCAGCATAGATTGAATATGGCATGATTTGATTCCAACTAATCTTACCATCTGCATTTCCTGCCACTTCGAGTCTACAGCCTACACATTGGTCTCTTGCTGCCTTTCTTGGAACTTGGCCAACACCATCCTTTCTCTAGGCTTCTGCCTATGCTGTTCCCTTGCCTGGAACATCCTTCACCAAATCTCTACTGGCTCCTGATGACAGGTCTCTGCCCAGCTGGATGATTTTGCCAAGACCACTTAAACCTGTCAAAACCTGACCTATTTTGCTTAGATGGACCATGAGGCTCTGGTCCTGTAAACTCCAGTGCATCTAGGATAAGGATGCCAAATTTAGCAAAAAAAAAAAAATAATAATAATAATAATAGTAATAATAATAATAAAAATAAAATAAATACAGGGCTTCTAATCAAATTTGAATTTCAGATAAATAACAAATAGTTTCAATATAAGCATGTCTGTACAATATTTGGAACATACTTATGCTGAAAATGATTTGTAATTTATCTAAAATTCAAATTTAAGTAAGCATTTTATGTGGCAACCCTAATCCATGGGTGTGTAAGTGTATCATAGCTCTGCAGCCTTCTGAGAGGGGTGATGCTTTTGTTATGACTTAGACTGGGAGAGGGCATCGGGGGCCTGAAAATGGACTTGGCCTGAGAGCCTGTCTAGTCTAGGGCCCCCATTTCACAGACCAGAGAATGAAAGAATGTGCCCAAGTTCACACAGCAAGGGGGGCAGCAAAGGGGAGGCTGGAACTCAGGGCCCCAGATTCCCAGGCAAGGCTCCCTCCTGTGCCAGCAACTCTGCTCTGGGCTGATGGAACATCTCAGGTTCCCATTCCCCTGCCACTGACCTGCCCTTCGCTGGCTTCAGAGGGGGGTCTGATGACGAAATGTGATCCTGCCATAAAATCTATACCAAACCAACTCTTCTCACAGCCCACCCGCCCGCCTCAAAGGGGGGCGCCTAATCCCCATTTATGGAGCCAAGCAGCTGGGCCCGGCCTGAGTCTTTGAACGTGAGCTTGGGGTACCCTGGGTCAGCCCAGTCTTGGCCAGAGGAACCTGAGAGTGAGGGTATTCAGGGAAGCTGAGCAAGCTGAGGGGCCAGCCGGTCCCAGGCCACCCAGCCCAAAGAGCACCAGTCAGGGTGAGAGCATAAATCAGAGTGGCTGAAGGCGGAGGGTCCCCGTGGACACATCTTTCAGGGTGTGTTCCCGAAGACTAGACTTTATTCCAGCAGCCGAGGAGAGATACTGGAGGTTTAAAACAGAGGGCAACACGGTCCTCTTAGAAAGATGGATTGGAGACCCCTTAGTGAGATAACTCTGGAAGTAATTTGGGCAGAATGATTACAGTTCTGACTCTGAGAGTGGTGGTGGGATGGAGAGAAGTGGAGAGAGAGCAGAGAGGTGTCAGGAGGTAGTGTCTGGGCAGCTCGGGATCTAAGGAGTCACAGGGATGCCCACTATCTGGTTGGGGTGGTGTGGTGGGCAGAGGTGCTGCTACAGACAAGGAACATTAGGGAAGGTGCAGGAAGATTGTCCTTTGGGATGCTGAGAGGGAGGAGCCTGTGGGGCAGTCAGCAGGGATGCAGAGGAAGGTGAGAGCCTGGGGTCAAGGTAGAGAGTTGGGATGGAGATGCCAAGTTGGGCATGATCAGCCTATGGACCTTGAGACCACGATTACTCACTGAGGGGAAAAGAGAAGAGAAGAGGGTCGAGGAGTGAGCCCTGGGGAACACCAACACTAAGAGCTAGGCAGAAACGGGAGGGCCCACAGAGGAGATGAAGACGGCAGGCCACAGAGGAAGGAGGAAAACCAGGAGAAGATGAGGGTGTGAGAGTTAAAGAACAACGAGGGCTCTGAGAGCCCCGCAAGCCAAGCCAGGGAAGCTCTCGCTGGGTTTAGCAGCAGGTAGGTGGCAGCCTCGCCACAGCGGGGTAGCGGGTCTCAGGGAGTGTACTGATGTGCAGAGGAATGGGAGGTGAAGATGTGTAGATCCTCAGTGTAGATAACTTTTTTTTTTTTGAGACAGAGTCTCACTCTTGTTGCCCAGGCTGGAGTCCAATGGCACAATCTCAGCTCACTGCAACCTCTGCTTCCCAGGTTCAAGCAATTCTTCTGTCTCAGCCTCCCAAGTAGCTGGGATTACAGGCATGGACCACCATGCCTGGCTAATTTTGTATTTTTAGTAGAGATGGGGTTTCACCATATTGGTCAGGTTGGTCTCAAACTCCTGACCTCAGGTGATTCACCCGCCTTGGCCTCCCAAAGTGCTGGGATGACAGGAGTGAGCCACCATGCCCAGCCTGAGTGTAGACGACTCTTTAAAGAAGACTGGTTGGGAGGAGATTTGGGGGATGCAGTAGCTGAAAGAGAACTGGGCTTGAGGAAGGGGTTGAGATTCTTAAGGAAGTTACCCACTGATGGGAAGGAGGCAGTAGAAAAAGGGAGGTAGAAGAACGTCTTTCACACTTTCTTGACACAACCTATGGTTAGATGGACATGTTCTTCCAGACCTGAGACACTTACACACACTGACACACTTGAAACAAAAGTTTTATGACATACACTCATCTTTACTGTGTGTGATGTGCTCTGATGTTTTCTTTCCTATTTTACTTAAAAAAATGTTTTTTTTTAAGAGATAGGATCTTGCTCTGTTGCCCAGGCTGGAGTGCAGTGGCATGATCATAGCTCACTGCAGCCTCGAACTCCTGGGCTCAAGTGTTCCTCTTGCCTCAGTTTCCCAAGTAGCTGGGACTACAGGTGCATGTCACTACCCCTGGCTAATTTTAAAATTTCTTTTGGAGAGATAGGATCTTGCTATGTTGCCCAGTCTGGTCTCAAGCTCTTGGGCTCAAGTGATCCTTCTGCCTCGTGCTCCCAAAGTGCTGGAATTACAGACATGAGCCATCATGCCCCGCCTTATTTTATTGTTAAATACTGCTGGTCACAGTACCCTGAACTGAATTTGTGAATCTAAAATGGTTCAAAATGGGCAGTTTGAGAAATTCTGAGGTAGAAGATATGGACAAAGAGAGGTGAGTCAATGGGGTGAATTCTCCTGGGTGGATCCAGAGGGGAAGGGCTGGCTTCTTATGGGAGGAGAGATGCATTCATTCCAGTAAAAGGGAAGGAGATGAGGTTTGGAGGAAGCACAGGTAAAAGTGTAGGTTTGTGGCTGAAAGTTGATGGCTTTTGTTTTCTCCAAGAAGGTCACCTATTGAAAGGGCAGGGGAAGGAAGGGAAAGGTTGGAGGATCTGAAGAGAGAGAGAGGACGATTTGAACAGCCATTGTGGGAAGCATAAACAGCAGCGAAACAGTTGCATTTCCTGGCAGTTTTGAGGCTCGATGGAGGTGGGAAGCCGTGAATTTAAAGTGGTATGCATTTACCTGGGATATTAGTGAAGCCTAAGCAAGAGGGTTCCTTCTTTTTTGGTGGGGGACGGTTAACGCCTGGCACAAAACAAGGGCACAGGGATTATATGATAAGTGAATGAATGGGCAAATAGCTCAATGAACAAATTTATCAATTCAACCAGTATTTATTGAGCACCTACTATATGCCAGGTTCTGTTTTAGGAGGGGAATACAGGGGTGGCAATGGCAAAATTCTTGCCCCTTTGGAGGCAACATGAGCAATGGCGCTTTTGAACTTCATGAAGCTTTTCTGAGGATTATTTTTGGTTTGTTCTTATTTTTAAATGTAGCTAACCCAGTCTAATAGAAAATTTGGAAGGATGATCATCATCTCGCCACATCTCTGTTGGTGTTCTATTTCAGCCTAAGATGAAGGGAGCATCATCTTCGTTTTCACCAGGTTGGAGGGCAAAGCATCTTGTCCTGGGTCACACAGCACATCTGCAGAGAAACTGGTAGGGGTTGGGACAGCAGTTTCCCACTTTCAGTGCTGAGCTATTCCTGCTCACCATGTAACCAGTGTCTCCACAGATTCTGACTGTGGTAGGATAATGGGGTGGGAGGTATGGGTGCCTGGATTTCAGCTTTCTGGAGGGAAATCTTGACATGCTTTTATTTTCTTGTTTCTCTGGAGTGGAGCAAATAAAAGACAGTCAGGGGCTCCATCAGGCCTATGGGTACTGGTTCCAGGCATAGCCTGTCAGTGGGAATATCTGGCCTCAATGAAAGGTAAGAGTGTATGCAGGACCTAGCTGCCCGCTCTTACAGCACGGACACCAGAGAAGGTGTGGGGAGTGGGGAGTCAGCATTTATTAAATTGTGTGTGAGCACAAGTGCATAACACAGACACACATCAACAGTGCAGATGCTTGTGCAAACACAAATGTACAAGTCCTTTTTCGGATTCACAAGTAGGGGTCACATATACAGGCACGCGCACACACACACACACACACACACAAATACACTCATGTTCATGCATAAATACCCAGGCACATGTGCACACGTCCAAACAAACATACACATTTTAAACACGCATAGGTGTAGGTGCATGTCTTTGGCCATATTCAAATACGCATACATTAAGTGTATACTCATATACAACAAAGAATCAGTCTAAAAGTGCTCACTGAGAGGTGCACACTGTGTATGCACTCACATTTCCCCAGCCTCATTTCTGTCTCAGTGCCTTTGCTCATGATCACCTCCTCTTTTGCTTCAGGGCCTTTGCATAGGCTGTTCTGCTTTTGAAATATCTTCCCCTGCTGCCTCATCTTTTAGTCAGTGTATCTAGCCTTTCCTCTGGGACCCTTGCCTGGAGCACCCACTAGAACCCTCTACTTCCCCTTTCATAACTCTCAGCCTCTATTGTTGTACTTAACTGTTTCTCCCTAGACTGTCAGCTGTCTGTGGGTCCACAGAAAAGAACCTTAATAAATAAGTATAGGTTGACTGAGCGAATGACTACCATGTATGGAGTACTTACTGTGTGCCAGGATCTGGAGTAGGTAGGCACAGCTGTTTTCTTTCTCTTATTGTCCCCTAAATTTTATGGAGGAGGAAACGGAAATATCGTCAGTACCAGAGCTGGGATTTGAACCCAGGGTGGGCTCTTTCTATGCTCAAATGTTCCTCTGATTTTTCTCTTGCCTTGGAGTCTACTGCAAGTCGAGTTCATCCCCCTCTTCAGAGCATCTTTGCTCTGTCCCCCACCCGGGCCCCTCCCGCTCAGCGGGGCTGGGGGAGCTGGGAGCCTTGAGTGTCAGCTCGGCTGTGGCATCAGGCCAGGGCTGAGCTGGGCCTTCCCCGGCCGGGGCAGAAAGGGACTCCTGGGAACAAGTTTGCAAGGGATGCGGCCGGGCGGGGTTGTTCAGAGGACTCTGAAGGGGACCGTCGCCAGGAGAAAGCTCTCTCTGAGTTGAGCGGAAGCGCCGCGGGCGTCCTGCGCCTGGCCGGTTCCGGCGCTCTTATCTGGCGGGAAAGCCAGCCCCTCTACCGTGTACTCTGTGCGCCCGCGATCCTCTGAGGACGCCCGCCCCGTGCCAGCCGGTCCTGGCCTCCACACGGCCCCGGAGACAGGGCGGGCAGGTGGCACCTCCGGGCCCCGCGGGGCGCCAGCCGCGGCGTGGGGCGTGGAGCGGGCGGCGACAGAGCGCGGGCGGGGACAGCGCGCGGGCCGCGGGGGGCGGGGCGCAGTGGCGAAATGGCTTTTCCAGATTAGGGGCCCAGCCCGCACTGTTGACACAGTCATAAGTTTTAATGAGAAATTTTGAGTATTTGTGTGGGAGACGCAGCCTCTGTGTGCACAGATGCTGCGGGCCGGCGGCGCGGGGGGCCGGCCCTCTCTGGGGCCGCTGCGGCCGCAGGCCCGGCACGGATTCCTTTCAGGCAGAGGGGAAACATTTAAACTCGCTCACCTTTGAACTGCCAGGGACGCTGTTTACCTTGGCTGCCCGAGTGGCAGTTTTACAGATATTAAATACTGACCCGAGGCTGAGCCGGGGCTCCTTCGCTCCCCGCCCCCGCCCGGGGGCTGCGCTGGGCACACCGAGGCCCGGGATGCCCGTTCCACCGGGGGTCATCTCACTGGGGGTCCCGAGCCCCTCTCTGCAGATGGCTTTCTGGAATCTGTACTGGGGAGACGCCCTGGGGCTCTCCGTTCTCGTCCACTCCTCAGCCCATTCATCTCCTAATTCGATTTTCTGTGTCAGGGCGGAGCAGTGTGGATGGAGGCCGAGAGCTGTCTGGGCCCTGCGCACACATTTCTTTGGCATTTCTGCATCTAGAAAGGGGATGTCATAAGCAAGGCACCTCCTAAGTAGGGGCTCCGGTGGCCTGGCTCTGTCTTTTTAAGGGACAGAGGAGACCTCTCTCTCCGAAGACGTCTGTGGGACAGAGGAGGGCTCTGCCTGAGCCGCAGGCTTCAGCGGGCAGGCAGAGGGCTCCCTGCAGAGGCACAAGCCATGTTGATTTTACGGAGCAGGCTGCTATGCACATTTCACTCCTGATTTATTGGTTTTTAACTAGATCCTTATGCTGGGCTAAAAAAGCCATCTTGCACTTTGCAAGGCTCTGCTGACTGCTGCCGAAAATGACACACGGGGGCTCCTTCTGCCCTCCCCGCCCTCCCCGCCCTCCCACCTCACCCCACCCAAAGGGCCATGGCGGAGGTGTGGGTAGGGAGCGCTGTTCTGAGGAGGAAGCCTCAGCCTGCAGCCTCCCTGTCCGCTGACCACCTGTGGTGTGTGTTGGGGTGAGTGTGTTTGTGTGTGTAAGGATTTATGGACCTGAAGGGAGGGGCTGGGAGAGGGGCAGGGCCTCTATTGAACCTGGGCACATACTGCCGTCCTTTTCTCCTTCAGGTCCCACAGAGCACTTGTCATGTATTTTAATGAACTTTGGGGTCAGACAAATCTAGATTGACCCCCTGGTCACTATCCTACTGTGTAATTCAGGAAAGTTAGGTAACTTCTCTGATCCCTGAATTGTCATCTTTGGAATGGGCATAATTCTTATATATGATGTGGGGATCACATGAAGTATTGTATGAGTGTCATACACTAACCCAGTGCCCAGCATACAGACGGGGCTTACTGATGAGATTTGCTCCCAATTTCTTCCGTCCACCCTGGCTGGTCACTCCTGGTAAAGGAGAAACCCCTGAACACAGGCGGTGGCTGACTTCACACTGCCTCCTGGTTCCACATACAGTGCTTCATAATTCAGATAGAAAATTATATGTTACTATATACCATAAACTAATAAGTTATAAAGCACTTTTAACCCATTAGCTCATCAAATCCTCACAAAAGTTCTATGAAAGAAGAGACAGGGTAAAAAGAAGTAGCAAGGTCATTTTACCCAGAGAGATAAAGGGATGTTATCACAGAACTCTGTTGGAAGCCAGACTGGACAATTTCCAGTTTAGAGAATTTTTCTTGATGTCACAAATGACTCTCATATTATTCAACATCGTTCCCTTTCTCAGGGAGGATGGTTTCATGAAAAGGAGGATCTTATGTAGAGTGATTAGGTACACAAATGGTGTACTTTCAGGCGTGGGAGCAAAGCAGAGCTATTTTAGGGGACGGGGTACCAGGTGGACACCCACCTGTAGAAGAGGTTTCTTTGGCCAGCCCTGGAAGAACAACTAGGTCTGATTGAGACCCCCAGAACTCAAGGAGCCCAAGGAGGACGCTGGCTGCATCTGCAGAATTCATCAGGCGGCTTGATGGGTCGCCGTTAAACAAAGATGGGATAAGGTTACATGTGTTTTCCGTGGGAGTCGGCTCCGATTTCAGCCTGATGATTTAGTCAGGTGTAAGCATGAAGTTTCCAATTTAGAGAAATAAATCTCCAGTGATTTTATTATCCCCTGTTTTACCCTGACACCCAACTTCACCCCGGCCCCCTGTCAAAGCCCTCATGATGTGTTTATATAGGGCACACTGTAATTGATTGGCGTGCAATAGAACATGACACAGAAAATGTGGCCTTCCCCACCAGGCCCAACTCTGGGAGCTTCCATATTTCATCATCCCCCGGGCCCAATCCAAGGCTCCCACTCCTGTGGCCACAAATTCTTGGGATTCTGGGTTGTCTGAGAACAGGAGCACAGGGCCAAAGGGTCCAGTCAGGCCCCCCAGAGCGGCCTCACAGGATGTTCTGGCCTGGAGACGGAGGGTGAAGGACATTGGGCAGAGGCATCTGTCATGGGTAGAGAGGCTGGTTGGGGTGGTTAGACTTATGACTTCAAAGGTCTTCTCTACTGTGAGAGTAGTTCAACCATCCATGATGTCTCTAAGTTTGGTTTTAATTCAAAAGTTCTAAATTTCTGAGGTGGTCAGTTTAGAAAATCTGTTATCAAGCATATATGAATCTGTGGCCCTAGATTTATGATTCTATGACAATGCCATGTAATATATGTAATACCATTGTATACTATGGTAATACTTCTAATAAATATGAATACAAACGTGGCTTTGAATGCTGATATCAATGCTAAAGCCAATACCAGTTCCAATATTATCATTTGTTGAGGGCTTTCAATGTGTTCAGCACTGCACTATGCATATTACATAATTCTTTCACTTAATTCTGCCAACAATCCTATGAGGCATTATCTCCATTTTACACATGATACCATTGAAGATCAGAGAGGGTAATAACTTGTTTAAGGCTACACAGTTAGTCACTGTTTAAGAGTCTGAGATTTTTAAACTCTTGCCTATAAAGCAGTGGAAAAAGTAGACAGATATGGCTTCGAAGCAGTCCTGACCTCATGGGTTGTGGTCGGAGTGCACCCAATGATTTCTCACAGTGCTAGCCCAATTGTCATTGCCTCTATCCTCAGCCCCAGGAGTGGTATCAAGGTAGAGCATCTCCAAGATTCTGGGTAGAGAATAAGGGCCCAGATTTCACCAAACCCAGATGATGGGGGGTTTGCTTCTGGTTCTTTTAGAATCCTACAGTTTCTGTGTCGGAAGGCAAAAGTCATATACTTCAACCTCTTGACCAGTATCTGAATTCTTGCCTTCCCCAGTACCCTGATTGGGCAGGGGCTGGTGGCTGGGCAGGGAGGCGGGCACTTTCTATTTCCACATCTCTAGTGACAGGGAGTTTCCACCTTATCATGAGCTGAAACCTGTCTCCCTGTCACTCTGACTTAGTGATCCTAACTCTCTCCTGTAGGTTCATAGAGCAAATTTACTTCCTCTGTTCTGTGACTTTGGAGATTTAGACACAGTAAATCAAATCTATCTGCTCTCTTATTCTGCCGCACCCTTACCCTTTCCCTGCCATCCATACCCCTCCCACCCATACTTTTATCCATCTATTCATCCTGCCCATCCATCCATTAATCCCTTCATCCATCTACTCCTCTGTCATCCACTAATCATATAATAATCCATCTCTCCATCACCCATCTAGTTATTCACTCACTATCCACTAATCAACCATCCATCCATCAATATATCCACCCTTCCCTCCTTTTTTCTATCCATCAATCCATCATCCATCCATGTCATTGTTCAGTCATCCATTGTTTATCCATTCATTCACCTATTTACTCTTTCACCCACTTATTCACTTATTTATTAATTCATTGAGGTACAACCATTCAAATAGTACTTGTTAGGCACTCTGAGGAAGGAAACAAAGGTGAATATGCCCTCAGTAAACTTGAGAGAGAGAAATAAACCAGGCTCACACCTACAGAGCTTACTTATTCCTAAATGTCAACAAGCTAGGAACTTTCTCAGCAATTTGTAAATAAGTGTCCAGTGAAAGGTTTAGGCTCTAAGTGCAATCAGGAGAGGGGGCCAGTGTGAGGTAGGCTGCTCAGGTCAGGCTTCCTTTGCATTATAGTCCTCATGGAACCAGCTGGTATCTCAAGACACAATCCTGCCTGGACCAGCATTGAAGTTTTGCACTGTGCTTAGTCTTGATTCCATTCATTCATTTGTTCAACGAGTACTTTTGGAGCACTATTACCTGTCAAATTCTTGGGTGGTGAATAACAGACAGATCCTGTCCTTGTTGATCTTATCATCTAGTGTGGGAAATGAACACTAAACAAGCACCTAATATAATTTCAGACACTGATAAGTGCTATTAAAAAAAGAGCTGGAGAAGACAGCAGGAAGGAAGATGATATTTTAGACAAGAAGATCAGGAAGGTTTTTCTGAGGAGTTGACATTTGGTCAAGGATAAGAATTCCTGGGAATTCCTCGGACTGGAAATTCCTGGGAATATCCACTGGAGAAAGGGAAGGAGATGAACAAGGGGACTGCAATGGTGGGAGGCTTGGGTCCTTAATTGGAGAGAGAGGATGATACATCAGGAAGCAGGAGCTAAAGTTTTCCTTTGAAGAACTCTGCTCAAGAAATCAGCCCTTTGTGGTCTATAAAGGGTATTCACTTGATTTATCTCACCTGCACGGCATTTTCCTCATTTATGGTCAGGAATGGAAAAGAGACAGGGTGTAATTTAACTAAGGTACCAGAGTAGGTCAGGGGATCAGGTCTCACATTT